CTAAGCGCCTGATACCGGGCTTAATTACCCTTTCCCAATGGAAAGACGACTGATTCTTTGGCGTCACGAGTGCCAACTTACAGCTGAGCTTTGCATGACTCAAAACACGTTGATCACTGCCCACACAGTCGGCCTTTGAACCGGAGTACGCACGCAAAAAGTCTAGCTAAACCAGTGCTTCCACATGAATAGTGTCCAAGAGTCGCTTACAGACACAGTCAACAAGATGTTTTTGGCTGGACGTCCACCATACGTGTTGGAGTAGGTTCTGCGAAGTTCGAGACTCTCTTAAAAGGGGATGTATGTCAAGTGCACAGGCGAATATAAACGCGCCAATCTCGAAGGAAACCCTCAACTTTTCGTCAATACTCGAGACCGTGTAATGATTACCCCCAAGCAATGAACCAAAACGGGTATCGCCGAAACTCCTGAACTCGATCAAGACGTCAGACTTCTCGCTGATTGAAAAGCACGCCTTCCTCTCATCCCAAGTCCAGTCCCATCACGGATGAATACTCGCAAGACAAGCTGCAATTTTTTATATAAGATGAAGTCGATTCAAATTGTCGGATTGGGAAGGAAGAAAGCCAAAAGGCAGGATGCGGATGAAAGGCCGGCACGGATTGCAAGCTTGAGGAGAACCGTGTGCCCAGTAAAGTGTTCCGTGCAATCAAGCTGCGGTGCGCACAAGTTCTGAGGGTATACGTTCGAAAACGGCATCACGATTAGGAGATACATCAAACGAGGCTGCCGCTCATCAGCATGTTACATCGATCATCACCGGCAGATGAATTCATGGGCCGGTACATCACGCCGAACAAGTAACAGAGGAAGCATAAAACTAAGACTTGAGCAGCTGTCCCAGTACGGGTGTACGACCTGACAGTATGACGCTTACGATACAGCCGACACGTCAGCAAGCATTGAGCAGGTGGTTGTACTTTACGGCAGGCTTGCATACAACTTGTCCTATGCAGCTCTGTTCGTGGCTCCACACATTCCCGCGGGCATGAGCTTCCGGCCCAATTTTACGGGCACAAAATGTCACGGCCTGGCTGACAAAGCTGGTTAAAGAAAGTCCAAGCCTGAGATACCAGAGTATGGTTCCAACGTCCATTCAATTAGTCAAACACGAAGCTTCATAAGCCTCATGATGCGTGAGCTTTCCTGGTCGCGAACTTCAGAGTCCGCATCCATCAAGTCATATCAGACAAAACGAACGTTGCGGCGTCACAATCATTGCATATTACCTCAATCTCCTATTTGACCTTCAGCGGCCATGGAGGCCCGACCCACATCATCACTGCCCCACGCCGTTTTGAAGAGACACAGCTGAATCTGGAACCAATTATCAGCCCCATCAGGTTGATCAGGGGGCTCGGATTCGTCGGGCCTTTCTTCTAAGATCAACTTGGGTAGAGCGGCCCTAGCTAGCTCGGTGATTTCATGGTCGAGAATGCTCAGGTTCGAGCTTCCACTGCGGGCCACGAAGGGTCCGAACCCGGACTCACCAGTATACTGGAAGTACTGCTAGGGCAAGTCGCTAAAATCCTACCATTGCACACGCGCTGATATAAGTCCCGTTCTGGAAGCGGAAGCGCACCCGCAGCGTATAGGATTCGAAGTTTAACAGAGAGGGAAAGGCGTCAGTCTTCGCATACGAGTTTCCGGAAAGTGAACTTCGGGAATCTCAGGCTTGAGCTAAGCGTCATCACTGCCACTGGTACGTGATAGTGCGCTTGACATTTCAGGATACTGGACGTCGTGAGAAGAGCGGTAATTCGTATTGATCACGGGCGTGGCACTGACTCTGCATCGAAAGAAACTTAAGAACGGAAGCACGTGGCAAAAGAAAGTCTACTCGCCGATTTGAGCTGTAGCATAAAAGACGGGTGTTTTCACGACCAAGCTGCGTTCGAGGCTTGAATTGTCTCTGCCCCAAAGAAAACAATGAACGGGTGAACGTCGACAGACTAATATTCATGTGAATGTGAAAAAGCAGTACAAGCTTGGAGATTCAAAATACATTTACGAGGGCGTTATCCGAAAGCGGGCGTGAGCGTTTCGCTCAGAGGTGCTTATGTTCATGGCCGATTTGTTTCTGTTTGTGTTGGGAGGATAAGGCCTGATGCCTCAACCAGCTGCCCAGGATTGAGTCCGACCGTGGAAGCAGTTGCTTTGTGCCAAGACTCTGCTTTCTAGCAAGCGGAAAAACTCCTCTTTAAAGCGGAAGAAAACGTCCGTTGCACGAACTTGTAGTGAAGAAGAAAGCCGGTAAACTTGAGCAGCCTCGTCAGAAAGTCAAAGGAGCATTGGAAAACCGACCCAACCAACAATCTTTCCAATGAGGCCAACGACACTTGTATGGTGTTGGCTCTCAGCAACGTACTGGGCACAGAGGGTAGGCACTATGCCTCCCAAAAAAAAATGGAGATCTGAAGGAGAGAAGCAGCCACGACGTGACCACGACTGCCACACTCCCACTGGTCTAGCTTTGACTCTGTTCAACGAATGTTCGGCGTCGTTTCTCAGTGAACCCTGAGTCTTGGCTCAGAATTCGTCGACCATAGCCGCAGGATCAGTCATCCCGGACTTTTCCGGCAGGGAGGGAAACATGACAAGGTAACTCGAAACATCTGAGGACGCTTGACCATAATGACCATACTGCGTGCACACCTGACGAGAGAACCTGCTGGCGAGCTTTCTTTCGCTCTCAGCAATGCGTTAGCTTGAGGCACCAGAAAACATTCAAAGACGTGCTGATGACGCATGGTAGGCGGCTTCCGATGGCATACAAAGATGAGTGAGCTTCTCGCTCACGTAGAAGTGGTCTTCCTTGCCAGGCCTTGAATTTCAGGTTACAGCTCGGAAGCGGTGTTTCGAATCTGGATGCAAGCAGAGTGGGAGCGGGCCCCAGCAAACCAGAGGCCAAGGACAATCAGGACCCGCACCGCCGTCAGGCCAGGAACACCGATGAACACCTCTCCGGCAGTCAATATGGGGCATGTCTTAGCTCCCCGCTGTTCAAAACCTCGTGAAGATCCATGATAGATCCAAAATAAAAGAAAGACCTTAAGTCGCGTCCATCCCAAAGGTACTTTCGATGAGCATCCGAAGGGGGTTTGGGGCCACCTAAACATCCCCGGAAAAAACGCACGAAGCCAATCGACCCAGACTCCGATTGAAAAGGCGTCGATCTGTTCGCGAAACATCAGTTCGACGACTGTTGAGCTTCTTCAAGGTTCAGGTTGAGAGTCCTTACTGCCAATGGTGATAGTGCCGTTGCGGAACAGATTGATGGAACTGGGCAACTATCAAAAGAACTCTGATTGACATTAACCCACAAGCGCGGCACGAGCTCTGCAACAAAGAAAGGGTCAAGGACGTCACCGTCAACGGAGTCGACTCGCTAGTCCGAGCTCTAGTGTCAGAGTTCGGGTTGTCTTTTTTGACCGGAGTACGATACAGGCTTGCTTTACTATCAGTGCAGAAGCAGCCAAGCAACCGAGTGAACGTGTGAAGCCCCGTTTGGATCCAAGTTTCGAGGAGCATGCGTGGAAGTTTCAGGTGAAAGGTTTGAAGAGGGCATTCCAATGTCGAAGCAGCCCTGTGAGCATTCCGCTCAAAGGCGCTTGTTTTCATGGCCCACATTGTTTGTTTTCATGGCCCACATTGTTTCTGATCGGGTCAAGTTGCAGTCCAACCTTGGAAGCCAATGAGTTTCCTTTAGTAGGTGCTTCCTGGCATGCCTTAATTCTGCAAGCGACGACCAGGTCGGCAAAACACGTCCATGGGCAAACTTCTGCTGAAGCGCCCTCTCCAGTTGCAGCAAGGAAAAAGCAGGTCACTAATCCTTGACTGCTCCGGCCCCATCTGATTGTCAGGGCGCAATCTCAAGACACAGAACCAACCGCATGCGCAGATTTAACGGGGCCAACGACCGCTGGAAATCGCATGGCCTTGACTGTCAGGCCATCGCCCGAAGCAGAGACAATTGGCCGCCATGCATCCCGCAACAGCAAGTTGTTGAGATCCGAAGTGAGAAAGTAACGCCCCCCCACAATCACTCCCAGGGCGTTACATTGTTCGTCAGTTCTTTTGACTAAGAATGATTCACGCAAAAGTCTTCGGCATTCCGAAACCTTACCTTGAGCTTTCCGCTCATGGGCTCGTTCGATCATAGCCGCACAATCAGCCGTTGAAACTATACCAAGCATTCTTTTTCTCCACTAGAGTCAGCCTTTCATGGGGGGACATATAGCATCAGATAGTCAGGCACAACGTTTGCACAACAAGTGAGGAGGCTTGTCCAAGCTTAGCTATCTTGAATTCATCATGATGCAATCTGATCCGACGAGAAGAACCCGCTCACGAGCTCTCCCTATAAGCAACGCGTCGACCAGAGGCACCAGAAACTTTTTTGCACCCTTGCTAACCGCCGTGGTAGGCGGCTTCAGTCCTCTTATGACAACTCTTGAGCTTCTAAAAGGCTCATGCAAACTGGATCGTCCTTGCCAGCTCAAACTCCAATCCCGGACTCAAACAAACAGTGAAAGCAGACTGTGGGGCAGACATAACGAAGAGGATAGAGCGAACCGCATTTTATCCGGCCAGAAAGGTCATCCGACCGCCAACAGTGAGGCATCTCAGCTCCTTGGGTATCCAAAACGTGTCAGGCACACAACCGGCAGGATAAGATCTTCTCAGATGGTCTCTTGCTCAGCATCCGCAAATTGCGGCAGCGTAAGTTTCCACTTCTCACGAACATACGAGAGCACAACCTCCAAGAATTTGAGAACCATAAGGCCAAGTACCATGGCAAACTTTGATGACAAACAGATGCGTGCGGTTTCACTCTTGCAGCAGACAGGAGTTTTCAGCTGTCTCAATCTTTCACTTGTTTCAGATGTCAACACGAGCTTGGTGGACTTTCTCGGAACACCAGATTGGCAGTGTCAACGATTTTGCAAGCGATTCTGTCTTATCTACCTGCGTACAAGTCAGACTATGTAGAACTGCGAGTAAAGAAGGTCTCGAACTTTGTAGTAATCTTCCGACAACGCCCCTTCGATCACGAGCTGCTGCTGCTGCGCAACCTGCACACAGACACAAGCGTCAGCGCAGTCGATAGGAACGATGCCGATTCTTGCTCGCCAACTTGTATGCTGCTTCCGCGGACGCCGTGTCTGTAAGGATGAAGCTCGTACGACTGGAATGTACAACTGTACCCAAGCGGATCCAGCTGATGCACAGGCAGCCTAATCAACGACCAGAAGCAGGTTCCTCAGTATGATTGATTCCTTCCAAGGAGTTGCTGTGCGATGAAGACGCTCCCAGGGGATCCCCAAAACAGTTGAAAAACGAGAGGTTCTGATTTCAACTCTTCCGCTGCGGACGTCTTTCACACGACCACTGGCGTTTGATCCTTGAGCAGTGCGCCGACCGCTTGAAAGTGCTGAGACCCTCAAAGCATTATAGGCCCTCGTCTAAAAAGGGTAAAGTACTCGAAGCTCAAAGCAAAGTTCTTACAAACCCAAAAGGAAGGCGCCCGCCTTTCAGACGTCCGGGTGGTTCCAACAGAACAAAAGCCCTCTTCGCATAGTTCTCGTACCCCTTGTAATCCTTTGACAGCCGATGCAAAAGAGACTACAGTACAGCTTAATCACCCGGCGCAAGAAACGCAAAGCGCACAGTGCCCTATGAGAGCCGTCTGCTGACCTTTCGGACGACCACGTGCTTCCCGCAGTGCAACGCGCCGTCCACAAACTTCCCCTTATCACTTATCCACCTTTTCAAAACAGTGCAAAGCACCTAGTACTATAAGGGGTCCAACACTTTCAGAGACTGCGACAAGACGAAAACCGCAAAAACAAAGGAACCGTCCGCTGACCTTCCGGACGACCACGTGCTTGCCGCAGTGCAGCGCGCCGTCCGCAAAGCGCGCGGGCACGCCCGCGCTCGCGAGCACTTGCCGGAAATCGGACAGCTTCACCTCCCCCACGAGAACGGCCTTGTGGCCCGGGGCGTCACCCCCCCGAAGCGGGAGCAGCGGCAAAAGTTGACTTTTTTCTACGGCGCCGTACTCCGTGGTCTGCTCCTGCGTTTCCGGGGGGCCGACTTGGGAGTCGACCCAGCCGACCTCGTAGTCGCCCATCTGGAGGGAGAGGAGGTGAGAAGGTTCGGCGCCGGGTCAAGAAAATCAAAAGTCGGTTGAGAAAGTTGAAGGTGGACCGTGCTGAGCGGGAATACTATGCACTGTCCTCGTCAACCTGCTTTTGTGAATTCAAGCGATACAATCTCTCGTGAATAAGGCACACATTATAGGGGCATTGCGCTTTTTGGGAGGGGCTGGGGCAGATTTCAGGGAATAGGTGAAAACGTCTTTGAAAACTAGCATTATCGACAGTCCGACGGGGGGATCGTAGCTCGATGGTTGCGCGTCGGATTTCGGTGGCTGAATTAGACACAGCCGAAATTGCAAACGACTAAGAAAGTGTTACGACCGTATTTAGTCAGATTGCGAGACCGTTTCAGAGTCATTTCATGCAATCTCTTGACGGAGGATCCCAGTTGCTAGAGGGGGGCCAAAGGGAGATCAACAAAAGACCCTCGTCTCAGCTTCCTCTCCTTGAGAGCAGCACCTTCGACGGGAAACAAAAGAAGGTTGACCTGCGGAAAGAGCAAAGTCTGTCCGCTGTGCAACGCGGGCTGCAAGCTAGTATAGGGCGGCTCACCTTTCGAAACGTGACCCCACTCATCATTTCCTCCGTCAGCTTGACCCGGTACGCACCAACCGCTGACGACACGTCCACCCACTGGTTGACGTCAGGAGTGTGTACGGACGCGCCGCTCTTGCTCTCACAAAAGCGCCGCAGGTTTTCCGTCGCCTCTCTGGTTCCGTGCACAAGGATCTGTAGAACCCGAAATGGGTTTAGCTCGTTTTCCGCTTTCAAATTTGGATACCGACCGTGAGGCAGAGTGGCTTCGCCAAGCTCTGTGCTGACATTGACAAAGTTGCAAGTAGGGGTTTGCGCAAGAATCGATTCTACAGCTCTACAAGGTGTTTCTTCGGAGTTCCGCGAGTTTCAGACGAAGTGCATCTCCAACGAAGATCCAGATCCCCGACCGGTCCGCTTCCCCGCAGAGACAGAATTTGCAACAACACGTTACGCCGAAGATACAAACTGAAACCGTCAAGCCTCACTAGCAGCAAGTCGCGTCTCTCGCAAACCGGCAGGGAATGATCCTGCATCAACGGCCCAACCCTCACCGTTTTGATTGGCGCCACGTGTTCGATGATGTTTTTCATTGAACGGCCGTCGGGGCGCCCCTCCATGTCGACGTAACGCACCTTGCATCGGACGTCCAACTGCAGCCAACGGACAGACGGGCAGAACTCAGGTGCGGACACAGGCAGTGCGTGTACGAAACCTCAAAGAGAAAATTTAAGCTTTCCCACACGGTTCCAAGACCAGATAAGCTCGTCCAGACAGGCAATGATCCCTTTTTTCCAAAGTGAACACTAGCTCGATATGCCAGAAACTTAGTATCTCATCTGTTTGTTCGATCGTAACGTTTTACTCGGCCTGAGCGGTGAAGGCATGGACGTAACGAATGTCAGCAGGTGACCAGACAAGAGTTAGAGCCTTTGATTTTGAAAGCAGAAGCAAAAGCGGATGAATGATTGACGAGGTCAGACCCATGCCGCGCGTGAGAGCGTGAAAAGCAATATTGGGCGGGGGTGCAAACCGAAAATAGAGCGCGAGAAGCGAAAGCAAATCACTGGTGACTTGCTCGCCGGACAATCGGGATTCACTTACTGCAAGCGCAGATCTTAGATGGCCCTCAATCACTCGACGTTCTAGCTTTACCAAGTACGAAGCAAAATGTCAAACGTTACATGTCTCTTAGAAGTGCACCCTCCTCACCTCTACTTGTTTCGTTACCACCTTGGAGGGCCGGTCGTCGATCAACATAGGGTCTTCCTCCGGGACTGCTTCCGGTTCCGGCGCCGCTGCCCTTCCGCCCTGGGCTTCCGCCTGCACAGGAGAACCGACACCGTTTTGAAACGCTGCAGCAGCAACATTCATCCCACATTTGTGGGTGAGCACTCGTCAAAAAGCACGAGAATCGAGTGAAGGCTGGCTTTTTGAGGATCAGGGACGTCTGATCCCGGCAGAGGTTGCACCATAGTTCGCTGAGGCGTTAGAGCATTGAGAGTCAATCTTGCTGGCACATGTTGCTAAGGAAAGGCAGACTGAAATGAAAACTCCAGGACACTTGATGACGCCATCTGACCAGCCTTTCCGAAATCTAATAAGGGGTCGCCGAAAACGAACGGAAACGGAGATGACGGCCTCAGAAGAGATCGCTCCTTGGATGAGGAGATCCTCAGGGTTTGATGAATTCATGGCCGTTCCGCTGCACCCATCAGCTGCGACTGGTGACATGGCCGATCGAAGCTATGGAAGGTTGTGGCTTAATCGCGCTCACATCCTGGAGCTGTCACGCTAAACTCGGAAAACGCTAGATCCTGCCAGCTGGCTTTGATGCAAAAGTGCAAAGCCGCAAAATTCTCAAGAAATAGGCAAAACCGACATTTGCCTACAAGAGTTGATTTCAGCAATGTACAGCCTGAACAATGAGCACAAAAAGGCCGTAGAAAAACAGATGTTCTGTCCTTGACGGTTTTTAAGCGAAAGAGGCTTTTGCCGTGCTATGGCGTCAGACTGCGGTTTGTACACGAGAATGCCCTTGCGCTGAAGCACAAGGCTGGATGCGTCATTGCCTACGCATGACACGAAAAGAAGAAAACCATTTCAACAAAAATTTCAAAGGAAAGAAAGACAAAGACAGTCGTCCTCAATTGGAGTGATGAGCGATGCGGAACAGGGGGAATCCGTAACAAAGATATTTCAGGCGGTCCAAGCACTTTGCGTACGTAGCAGTGTTGTTGAACGCTCACATATTTTGATCGAGAAAGCAACTGATTTGCGATGAGCACTGTAAGACGTTGCTGAGAAGCGAACAACGGAGCGGCGCTCTCGACTAGATTCCCAAAATCCCAGTTGAGAGCCCCATCAACACAAGGAGCATCAGAAGTGATGCTCTGCGGTCGTATGATGAAAACGGAACTGCTCACTAGAATGCGCCGGCTTCAGTCCCTCGGGTCCTGTAAGAGACTCGGTCGATTCATTCCAAACTCTACCGCGGCATAGTAACTCGGTAGTTCGGTTTACAATCTTTCAAATGCTCATTGCTTCATCTACCACTTATAAAGCTCAGTATTTGGCCAGTGTCTCTTCGCGCACTTTAGGATAACAAGACGACCTCCCTGCAGTCAAGAAGCACGCCGAATGCCACTGCAAAAAGACGTCTGGCTGTTTGACGGCTCGGACCGATGAGAGGAAGACTGACGCATAGCGCATCATCAACCTACGTGCGTCATGGCCGTCGCCTTGAATCAAGATGCGAGATCCTCGATTGAACACTCGGCATCAGACTGAGCGATAGCCTGCCGGTCCCATCTTGAATAGCTCAGCACTGAGGGGTTTTCCAAAGGCAGGCGGTCAACCAGAACTCCAATTCTTCTCACAAAAATTTTGTTCCGAAACAGCAGGCCAAGGGAGGGCACTACCTTGCAAACGAAGGGGCATTCGGCGTGCTTCTTGAATTACGTGCATTAAAGGCGCAAATTAGCTTTGCCCCTTGGACGTGCCGAAGCTGTCTCTGGAATGCCAGGAGCAACCTTCCTGAGTAGTTGAGAACAGGCCGCTGGGCGGCAAGCTCAGAACGTGGAAAGAGTCGGCCCCGTGCGAAATGAGCAAGGAATAGTTGCCCGCATTCCTCCTGCGACAGCTAGTGCTAAGCTCAAGCGCCCAAAACGAGTTTCGTCATTGCCGTCTTCACCTCGCCCATCAGGGGGCATTGGAAAAACTACACAAAATCACCCTCGACTTCACCGCAACAGACTTATGCGGAGGCAGGCGATGCAGCGCTCAAATCTGCGAGGTGCAAATCATCAGTGCCGAGAACCCTGCTGGGATTGGACAACTTAAGACAGATCACTACGTCCTTTGCAGCCTTTCCGGAGCAGGTGGGGCAGAGTTCGAGATCCTTAGAGGGCGAATCCCTCTGAAAGCCTCTATATGTTCAATAGCTTGTTAGGGTGGCGAGCCAGTCCCCAACTCGACAAAGGTTGGACGAAAACAATAATGCTTGTCAGTCAACTAATAAATGGGGGCTCCAATAAGTCTGCACGCTAGGAGGCGTGAGACAACGATGCCTCAAGCATTACTGGACGTTGTCGTTGCCTCGATTCGCCACTGAAGAATCCAGTCCGACAAAATACAGATTCTTTATTGACCTGCTGGCCTTACTGCCTCAGCTCATCAAATCTAGAGATTCACCAACACCCTCTAGATCTGCGAGCTTTGAGGTGGGCCAGCAACTATGACACTGATGTCTGCCAGAGACACAGGCAAACCCGTTGTACTGTTGAATCCCTCAAGCACGCAATCCCTTGATGCCATCAAGCAGCTTAGACCGAATAGACGACCGCAAGGAAATGCTGACACGCACAGGCAGAAACGGCTTCACGGGTTGCTTCGCTGCATTGAGCCAAAGCGGTCACGGCACACAACTCAATCATTGCCTTTCTCTTTGCACACGGTGCCTAGACCAATGTAACGACCTTGTTGAACGACCTTTCGTTGCAAGAGGGCGTAAGAAATCCGTAGGACTGACGACCAGACTATACAGGGATGGGCATCCTGAATCACAATTATTCAAACTTTCCAAAAGTGCTGAGCAATTTAGAAGCTTTCCTTTCCAGGAAAACCTCAGTCATCTGTAGAGCACAACGTGCTCGAAGTAGGCCAAACATTTATATCAGATTGGGAGACTTGAATGCTGCGCAGAACGCACCAGAAAGCGCGACTTTACTGTAGGCTGTTTGAAATGCTAGGTCTCCACACTTCCTTCAAGGTCCAAAGCCAGGTCTTTCACATCAGAATAATATTGAAAAGTCTGCCTGGCACCTCTTTGCGATATCAAGCTATGGTCGACGGCTCGACTCTACATGCAAGCTGACTTGTGGGCATCTAACCCATCGAAAATGGTCAACCCTGCCTCGTCCAACAAGCGAAGAATCTGAAGTAGGAAATCTAATGTAGAATTCCGTAAAGGGGGGGGGGGGGGGAGCCAGGGGGGGGGAGGCATCGCCTGCAGAATGACCAAACAAAGGATCCTGGCATCCACCCGCATCCAGGACACAATGAGACGGGGCATACTTTGGACTGCTGTAGAAGAGGATGATGATCCGGAATCAGAGGATGGGAAGTGTGGCTGGGCCTTGCACTCGACCTCCTAAATCGTCATTGCCTGCTAAATCGTCATTGCCAGCGAAACCACGTCAATGACGTGCGCCAGACATTATAACCTTATAACATTATGAGCTTTTGTTGCACAATTCTTCGCATCTCACATGCTTGAGTTCCAGCCGCCACTGGAGGACTTATCAGAGTCCTGCTAGCTAGAGATTTGCACAGAGATTCGCAGATGAGGGCTCCAACCTAGCAGGAGATCGTGCTTGAAGAAAGCTTCCACGGCCTAGATGAGAAGAGTCCACAGCAAGGATAATCTGTTTGCAAAGCCCGAACTCTGTCCGGAAGGGGCCACTGCCAAACCAAAAACTATCTAATGAATAGTAAAGAGAAGAGCTTGCACGGCCTCGTTAGGGGCCTGTCAAAAGCTGTGACACTTCACCAGGATGGGCTCGAGCTGCTGACATCCATCTCTGAACAAAGTGCAATCCAACGATTCGTTGAATGTCCGTCTTTTGATGGCTTCGAGAGAGGAGACGTGTCTGAGCGTACTTTCCTCGAAACGACAATTCATCATCGCCATCACCTCCATTTCCACCAGACCGCTAGCCGCTTTCCGGTTTTTGTATCCAATCCGAGTCATGGAACTTCAACGATTTGACAGGTCCCCCACATCCGCTAATCACAAGAAGCTCCACAAACTTTTTCGTCGGGGCTTGAGACCATAAGTAGAAAGTTCGCCGAACTTTGACCAGATAAATATGAAACGATATTCCACTTGGAAACACTGCCATGATGTTTTTTAAAGTGGCTTGTTGACAGACCAAACACCACATGCGCAACGAGTCGCCACAAGCTGTAGAAGCTATCATGAAAGAAAGGCGGCGCAAGATGAGAACCTCGAAAGGGGGAATTTTGTCCACTAGGCTAAGCTGGTCGGCAAAATGGTCAATGGCACGGCACAAACGCAGGTTCTTTACCCTGGGGAGGTCGGACGCCATGGCTTCCACACGGTCCACAGTCAAACCTTGTTTCCATCGCGCCTTACAGAAACCTGTATTGCTGGTCTTCTGTACCTTGGCACTTAGGTGGTCCAGAGCGGAATAAGTAAATGGCTTCAATGCCCAAGTTCCACTGCGCTCTTTACGCAACAGGGGCTTGAAATCACCGCCACTTCAACAATCTGACCCAAAATCCCTCTATTTTAAATCATTAACTACAGTAAACATTATTTTCGATTATTAATTACAGTTAAGAAGTTAACTATAATGGCCCGACAACTTTTTTGGCCCCAAAAGAATAAATTGGATAGTAGGCTTCGAAGCCTTTTGTAAACAGATAGTCAAAGTCGTAACTGGGTTCAGTGACTAAGACTGGCTGCAAAGCAAGACAATAGTTGCTTGGATTTATGATCCTCTCGCTTCGCAAACTGCGGGCTCAAGACTGGTACACTGTGTTTGTAATCTGGTTCTGAGTACCAGCAGCTGACGAGCCAGATGTCGCATTCAAGAATACTTGCAGAGATGTGGCACAGACTCAAGGGCAACGATGTCAAAATCAATGTCACGGCGTCAGCGCAGCATATGGTTTACTCCACGCTTGAGCTTTACGCTCGTGCAAACAAGGATTACGGCCAGTGGGTCTAGCAGCAGATGGTCTATCAAAGTCACGACGATCCGCAGCAGGCCACTCATATGTGCGCGTTTTCAGCTTACAAGCTGGGAACTCTAATGGCAAATCAGCTCGTGAGCTTCAATCAGACGGCCAAAGACTCCGCAAGCACAGTGGGCTGAATTGATCAGGGAAAGGTCGAAGGGGGTACCTAAAGTTTCGCATGTCTACCTTCGGATGATTTAACATCCTACCAGTCAGGCGTGCGGACTGATCAACAGTACGAACTTTTTGTGAGGTCCTAGATGCCAGGAAGACGCGCACAGAAAAGAACAGTGATGTCAAAGGTGAACAAAGGCGCTAAAAAGATGGAGTTAGGTTGAGTGTCACCACATCAAGAGCGTGCAGTCATATCGTCCATCTCGAGTGGAGACCTCAACATGGACCCGAAACATTACTGCTGTTTGCGTCAAACTTGGCATCCGAGCTCGGATCGAAACGCGCGTTCCTCGATCGCGGATCGCAATGTCGGTTCCCTAAAGTACCCCCCCGGAAGGACTCCCGATGCCAAACCATTGACCGTCACCAAGGACTTTAGTCGGCCGAACTACACGTAACGTTTTCAGGGGGAATGTCTATCAAGGATCGGGGAACGACTTCGCGACTCGAGATTGAAAAACCGCGCGTTTCGATCCGAGCTCGGGTGCCAAGTTTGACGCAAACAGCAGTAGCTCCTTCAAATGTTCGCCAGAAATAAGAGCGATCATTCTCGCCCTGACTTCGCTGAGCTCTTTGCTCTTGCACTGAAAATATCATCGCCCTTGCAAACAACCAAAGTAAGCGCGGTGCTGGCAAGATTTACGGTAAATATCCAAATGTCATTGGACACCTCGTGAAGAGATCGTGACAGCTGCTCTTGTGGTGTTTTTGGTATAAGGCCGCAGTTCCCTTGCGCACGAAATGCTCGTGAGTTCGTTTGCGCTGCATGTGGCCTTGAGGGCACCGAATGAGCGCGACTGGCAGAACGACCAACCCGAAACCAACTAATCTTCAATGAGCAGCGGTGCTTGCACGCTGTATCAATGTGGTCGGCTTGCAGAACGCTCGGCAACCCACGACTTGTTGAAAAGTGATACATCCGGTTCTCGGTAGGATTCGGAGTCGTCCACAGTCAAAAAAGACAGGATCAGGGTTTCTGATGGCAGAAGTTGCCGAACAACAGGTTCCAACTGCTCTAGTAGGAGTGAGCGACGGTCGTCACGACGAGCACCACGACCGTCACTCTAAATCGCAAAGTGAAGCACCCGAGAAAACAAGGTTCTCGAGTGCCGACTGCACTTCGGCCTAATCCAGCGAGAGATGTCCTCCGGGCAACTCTTCAGGGCTCTGGTTTAGAAACGCGACCTCCAATCCTCAGAAGCGACTTCCACAGACACGTCAGACCCCCCGATGCAGAGATCGAATTCACCGAGGGTTTGCTCCTCATTCGCCAAACGATCGGCCTTCAGCAAATCTATGCAGCCTATGACTGCGTGCGCGCTGTGGACATCAACGCCAAAGGAGCCAGTACTATCGAGCCTTCGCGGAGCTTGTATTTAGCTTGTATTTTTCGACAACGTCTGAGGTGCAAAGATTTGAAACCTCTCAATGCACAAGCTTCCTTGTTTTAGCCTTCTCACGAGGCCGGTTGCAGATTGAACAAGCCACTCAGCATTCTTGCTGGCACTCCCCAAAAAGTGTCGTCTGGTGGGCATGAGTGCTTTAGTAGGAGCGCTCACACTTGGAGCGTAAGGGCGCGAACAACATATCCAGAATGAAAAGAGCAAACGCGAGGAACGACCTTTTAGCGCACACTCAAGCCGTATAGAAACTCGTCCTCTCCGCACCATCATCCAGGAAGAGGCACTTGAAGAGTGCCCTCCGCAACGACTGAAGTCAGAGAAAATCGACCTCACCCACGAAGTGGGGCGCACCACATATTTCCGAACCTAAGCTTTACATGTTTATAAGCTTCCTCCTGATCACAGAGAAAATACCTTTGTCGGCTCTGACAGAGTCGCCACCTGTAACCGTTGAGCGTACTAGCACTCGGAGTAGCAATGCATCATGGCCGCCAACAATGATCCACAAACGTCCGAAGCTTTCTGCATAGATTCTAGGCGGAATACCTCTTGATCTTCACTTCATACCAATCGCTCAGAGTGAGGTGGATAAGGGGCCTCTAGGAGGCTTCAGTGCTAAGCAGCAATGCGGAAGCAGCGAAAGATTTTAGAGCAGTTGATAAGGATGCAACATCTGCAGCTAACCACGCATTCCACCGCCTGAAAGTACATAGACACAAAGAGAACGGCTTCAGCTCGGCTAAACGTTGATCCTTGCGCTTTCAGCCCGTGCAAGCTAAGCGTCACTGCCTTGATGGGAAGCAAACGACTCAAGAACAATGTAATTCTCCAGATAAACTTCGTCTGAAGCATTAAATACATTTGCGATGCTCCAAAGCTAGCATACCGTTGATGACAAGTGCGGCACGCTGTGCCACAGGAACGATTTCTTTGCACTGCACAGCATTTGCTATTGCCCGTACAGTTCCTGCAAAGCTTGATTCGTTGCCCAAGAAGGCGGTAGACAGAATTCGGAGTCATCCAACGAGGTTTGCGTTCCAACAGCACAATGAACCCATGCACGATTGAGAAGAGGGGAGAAACCAGCGACGCAAAAGTAGCTAAAGTGTTCGGTCTTCATGGTCGGCAAGTGGATTGGTTCTGAAAGAATCTAACTCTTTCGTTTTCCCATACTTCTTAAAGAAAAGAAAATTGCGTGGAGTGCTTTGCTCGAGTAAGGGGAGACAACATCACAGCGGCTACTACTCTCCTACCCCAGGGTGTAAGCAACTTTTCTACGCCTCGGCTAAAAGCAACCACAGCTTTGTACGCCTCGGCTAAAAGCAACCACAGCAATAAAACGGCGTCGCTTGATCGATTAAACGCTTGAGTTTCTGCTCACGGGAATATTGGATCATTGCCGGACGTGAGATACTGAAGAAGGGGATGTGAACGTTTACTGTATGTCAGCTATTGGTCTGAGATCGACGAGACAAAGGCGCCGCGTATGAAGGTAAACAGACTTTCAGGCGGCACCCAGGTTGTACAAAGGTGCGTCCAAAACCGGTCTCCTCACTAAATGGGACTGGGGAAAAGAGACCAGCTGCGAAGCTTCCTTTTGGTGTCCACTGGCACGAAGCACCGGACCTTAAAACGTTGCGGACACCAACAACAAAAGAAGGCTACGGAACATGCAGCATCCTGAGCTGAACGCTCAGATACATGGCCTCTTCCTTGCCAGCATGGAGTTCAGAGGAATGCAGACCAGCGGCTGTCTGATCTTGGTAAGTATTCCAAACGTGGAGAAGTACGCAAAGCCGCGCACGAGCGCAAAAGTATCAGTGACCTCATACTTATGCCGGCAACCCTTTGCCGACCGTTGGAAAGTCGTTTGTCACAACCTTGTGATACGCGGAATTGAAATCTGCTTGTGATCACGTTGCAATCGTTTGACAACGAGAGGCAGAGCAATGGGCCAGCTCGACAAGCTGACAGTCATCATCGCAACGAGCCAGGCTAGGACTAATTGCTGGACTGAACAGCCCTACAAGACCTTTGCATGGACCGGGTTCAAGCGGATTCCTATCACGTTCCTAAGTTACAAGACTGCTCGGAGCTCGAACTGCACACCAAACACTCAGCACATCAAAATCCTCAAAACTCATGTCTCTTTCGTTCATCCCATGTCTTACACACTTTTCTGTGTAGTCTCACTCCAATTGCAGAGGCGCAAGTGTTTCCGATTGCAAAGACCATGTGTCACTCTCTGCCACAGACGTCTGGACATGCCCCATTCTCACAACATTCTCGCCTGGGGCTTGGCAGACTCTCATCCCCGCCTGGGTTTCCCCGCAGTCCGTTGGGCTTTCCTCGTATCCAGCTCCCTCCAGCATAACCAGGTAAAACGAAATCAACCCGCATCAACATCTCCAGAAATCGCCCAGGAGGCTTCCGCCAAGGGTTCAAAGAATTCCGCTCAAACCTCACCAGATTCCGCCCCAGGTCCATCGGGTCGTCCTCCTTCTGCCGGTACTCGTCCGGATCAATCACCTCCCCGTACTCGTCCCACTCCTTCGGTTCTTCCGCGTCTGGAAACATCGGGTGCACGGCTCCTGGCGGTAGCTCGAAACCGTCGATGAAGACTTTTCGCTTGGCGGATTCCGCCGGAACAGGTGGAACAGGCCCGCCCCCGGGCTCGGCCGCGACTTGGAGGGAGGCGCCGGAAGGACCCGCGTCCTGGAAGCAGCAGTAAAGTTGAATAAGCCTTGGTATCCCGCAATAAGTCAACGAACGTGATGAAGAGAGGGGATTCGGTGCATGGGCTGCCCTCAGATCCCAAGGGCAAAACCTGACGAGAGAGGGTCAAATAGTGGAAGACATCTAAAAGGTTTCGACGGGAGAACGCTCCCAAGACTAGGTCATTGATAAGTCTGCGTGTACCTCTGTGCCGTTTACGACGTCCAAGTCTGGAACGTCCAGGCTCAAACCGCACGTTACCTTGCAAGCGCTGTCAAACGCTGTAGTACCTTGAGTCAGTCAATCTCAAGTCCTGTATCTCGTTGCTAAATTTCTGCGAAATTTGACTGAAGTCGCCGATACTCGTTGCTTTTGGAAATACATTCGACCACAGTATATAAGCAACCCGCCTTCGACAACGAGCTCTATGCTGTGATTTCAGCAAGTGAGACCCCTCGAACGGGGAGGTTCTCAAGAGTACGAGACCTCTCGCTTACATGTGCTGCATCTGTGAATCCTTGATCCAATTTTCGTAAGGATTAAGTAAGCTTCAAGTGAATCTCACTCACTTGCGCTGCCTCTAGTTCCGCCACCCGCTCCTCCTCTTCCGCCTTCACGGCCCCCAGCTGCTCCCTGGCCCTCGTCTCCTCTTCGAGTTTCTGCTTTTGCAGCAAAGCCTGCTCCTGCCGGTGCTTCTCCAGCTCCTCGCCCTCTAGAGGAATCTTCTCGCTCAGCGTCAGGCTGACGCGGGGCGGCGTCGGCACTTGCTGGAGAAACCGGGCGAGGCTGCTGGGCTGGAAACAAAGAAACGGGGAAAGTTTCCATGAGCATTTGTTTGCATCAACCTTGTGTAACAGCACACAGCTTATGGTGTGGCATCAGCACACAGCTTACGGTGTGGCATCGTCATCCTTTGACTTCCAGTAATGCTCACTTTTCGTTTGGTTGCTCGGTTGTCATTCACCAGCCTCCAGGAATGTCGATGCGCGAGTTCAAGCTGTATAGCTCATCCCATCTGCTTTGAGCATCTAGACGACGACATTCCTGGCCTGAGAACAACGGCGGCAAAGAAACAAATCTTTTCCGACAAAATGTCAACGAACTACAGCTCCTTCGGCGATCTTACCTGCCCTCGCTCAGGAAAGATGATCAAGTTGCCTGGCTGCTCGGTCCACTCCTCCAGCAGTAGCCGGGAGAAGCCCGTTTCTAGACTGCCCATTGAAGCGAGCACCACTTTCGGCCCATGGGCCAGCGCTGCCAGGTCTTCTAGGCTGTGGCACAGCGTGGTGTGCCTGCGAAAAGGGCAGACTTACACAAAGTAAACACGCAGAGTACAGGAGGCGTGGCAGAGAGAATATCTGGTAGGAAGAAGCGTGGAGGGAGACAAAGCGGCCAGACCGACAATTTTCGGACCGCTGACGTCACTCAGATGTGATTGAAACGAGCCAGACGCCAAAAGTTGGTGAAAGAAGTCATCCAGGGCCGTCGTAGGGAGGCGCTGCTCTTCTTAACGGAACTCCTCGGCCGAAAACTGTTTCTGGTGGGCCGGCTTCTGGCATATACACGGTCACTTGTCACTTTCATAATCTCACTTCTGTATCCCTACGCAGCTAGAGAGGCCGCCTCGGGTCAAAGTCGTTTTACCAGCACGGATTCCGCTCAAACTGGCCAAGCGAGTGACTTGCCTCAAGATCAAAGGCATTCGCTCGCGCCTGCTCAAATAGCCTCACCCTATCTTCATTCGTTTCGCTTACAGGCTCATATATCGTTCCCCGAGTCGATTGGACGTTGGACATTGGGAATAGCTCACCTCAGGTCAAACGCATTGGCCCGCGCCCGCTCAAAGTGCTTCCCGATGTTCTCCGCCATCCACTCGAGCGAGCTCTTCGCGAAGTCGACCACGTTGTACGAGACTGACGTCAGCAGCGCCACGGGGAACCCCTGGTACGCTCGGTTGCTGCCCCAGTAGTGCTCCAGGCAGAGGAGGACCTCCAGAACGCGCCCGGCAGTGTCTACCGGGACGAGGACGGAGCCACCAGTGCGGAGCGTGCCCTGAACGGCCTCTGCAGACAGCGGGGGAGCGACTCTGCTCTTGAAGTTCTCGAGAGCGCATTTCTTGCAAAGAAGCATGGATAAACTATTCGTATTTAAAGACGATTCGCGGAGATGTTTGATTAGTCTGCGCAAACCTGTGCCGGGTGGGATTGAAGGCACTGTTAGCGGACTCGTCGCAAATTCCGATGCTGAGACGCAATCTCTTTCACATGTCTTAAAATCTTCAAACAGCACATCCTCGACTTCCAGCGATATCAGTGGCAGGGCCCCAAAGTTTCACGGATGTAGTTCCACGGCTCCTCTTCTATAATGCTTACATTCGGATACTTCACGACACTCCCCTGCTGGTAGAATCAGGACGTCATGAAAGCACGTAAGCCATTTTAGGTCAGAGTCACTCACCTAGAAACTCCTGATCCCGCTGCTTCTGCGGGGTCTGAACGCTCAAGGCATTATACGCGTCTGTTATGAGAACAGCCGGACGAACGAAGTTAAGAAGGACCGTTCCGTTCAGATGCCTGCATATCGAAAAATAAAGTTAAACACCGACATAATTTGGAATCCAGTTATGAGCTGACCACTTGCAGACTCGAAGACCAGCGATCTCACAAACGCACAGATCTGCCACATATTGACCTGCACGTCAAGCACCAAACGGATGGTGCTCCGGCTCGCTTCGAACTGACTCTCTTGCCGCTTTGAAGCCTTCTCAATGTCAAGAATTACGAGACCGATCTTCAGTTTCCGAATCTGATACGATGCTGTATAAATCCTGGTCGCCGTTTCTGTGTGCTACATCCCAGGACTTTCGTAATTACAAGCAGCTGACCAGTTTCTGACCAGTACAGGTTTCTGGACGTCTGAACTGCCTTTTATCGTCTTTGCGCAAGCCAGCAAACGAAAGCCGCATGTTGACGCTCACCTCTCTTTCCGGTGGTTGTAGTCAACAGCGTAGATGATGTCCTCCCCGTCCTTGCTGATCTTCCACAAAGTGCCACCAACCAAATGTCCGGCAGCATGCGCAGAGATGGTGATGCCCGCTCCCTTTCCTGAAGGCAGAGGTTCGGGATTGAGAAGACAAGCAAAGCGTTCAGGTTGCTGTTATTCCCCCCTTGCGGCTTGCAAACCTGCACACTTTTACAGGACCAGCAATTGTTTGGAAAACAGAAGCGCTGCGTAAGGGTGTATTCTTCAACTTTCTTACTGGAACAAGGTGATTCAGGAAGGCTGAGCCAGGCAAAAAGTGGCATAGACGTACAAGAAATATTACTATCAACCAAGCGGCTGGCAGATGCCTTGATCTCTGAATGAATGAAAAGCAATCTGCTGCATACTCATTCCGGAAGTCAGGAAGACTGTTTCTGGCCGCCGATCAGATCAGTCGGCAGCCACAGCCAGTCGCCTTAACTAGCCACGCGAAACAAAGGTGCCAACGGCCTTATGCAGATAATTACGCTGCAGACAGACAATCCTGCAGAATCCCGCATGAAAACCAGCCGCCCTTTGCCCCTACCTGACAGCACCCTGTTCTCTGCATACTTGATCGTCTCCATCGAGTTGAACGCAAAGTCGACATCGTCCAGGTCAAAAGTGTCAAAGTCTGACACCGCCTGCCGTGAGAGGACGTGATCGTACATGTAGAGGTGGCCGAGCTTGGCGACCGGTAGGGTGGCGTAGACGGGGGCCGCCAGGCCCAGCTTGCCCATAAGATATGGGAGGGCGCCGAGGTGTGATGTGTCGGGGTGCGAAAGGAGGACGGCGTCGATGTCCGAGATGTGGCTGTGGACAAGGACACACGGCTTTTGGCAGGGTCTCTGTGTTTGGTCTATGTAGGTTGTATGCATATGGTTTATCTCGGGGTCAAGATCTGGGTGAAGGATTGAGAGGATACCAAGGGCAGTGCAGAACTGAGAAAAGCGGCATAACATTGGTGACCCAAAAAAAGGACATGGAATTCCAACATAGATCAGGGATAAGTCCGTGAATGGACATGGGGAATTGGGAGACAAAGAAAATAAAGGCTAAGGAGTATGCACTAGCCAAGAGAATACACAAAGAACACAGAATAATCTCAGAGAAAAGGAACGAGAACCTGCTGTTTCAGCCTGGCAAAACTGAGAAGGATTCCCTTCAGCAGCATCAACTCATTTGTGACAATCTCCTTGCCATGACCAGTGTTGAGAAAACACTTTGTGGAGACCTGAGTGCTCCCTCAAAACCAGCCGTGCTAATATTTGGACATAAAGCTGGCAGCTCCCTGTGCTGTGCTTATGATATACATCAGTCATTTCCAGAACGTTGGTATGCAGATTGAACATTTGTATCTGAACAAAGTTGTTCTGATGAACTGCAATGCTACAATCAGGTGGCTACATTGAGACCTTCGAGTGTTCCTTGTTTGAGCATTTGCTACTGAATGAAGCTCAACTTTTAAGCTACCATAAAGTTTCCCATGCACGTACAACAAGGGCCTGAAAGCGCGGGCAGCTTCTGCTCTTTTTCAGAGCTCAAGAAGACTGACTCAAAGTCTAGCCTGCTCGGGCACAGAACCACCTGGCATTCTGTTGTCCATACCTTTTTACATTCTCCAGAAGCACAGGATCGAAGGAATCGTTCCACCCACAATCAAGCAAGATGGAGAAGTTGTCCACCTGCAACACAATCACACGCAATTCAGCATGAGCTTGGCAAGTGTCTAAAAGTGAATATCTTTGTGGGAAAACCAGAAACAGTGCACAATGAGGATAACATGAAGTGCTTGATGAGAGAAAAGACTTGCAGCCTGAAGTAAAGCTCGACGAACAAAGGCACCTTGAAAAAGTCCACCACCATAAGTCATGGACTCGCCACTAACACTTGCTGACATCTGATACAGTCTGATGTGTCGTAATTTCGCACGACTGTCTCGATTTCTTAAGTGCCGAACCAATGCTCGATACAAAGAAGCTAACCCACCTGCAGCAAGTAGCACAGAGGATCTTCAGACAAAACCCCGCAGAGGGGCATGAAACGCACAGCGGTCCCCATCGCCAATGCCAATGGCGGTTTGAAACAAGAAGTTGGAGGCGAAGAATCTCACCATTGAAGTTTTCTAGTGCTCGCACCACCCATTCCGGTTGCCACGTTTTTGTCAACGGAAAACGGAAACCACTTCTAGAACCGGAGAAGGGCCTACCAAATGAAGTTCGGAGTTCAATAAACAACCAGGATCCGCCCGGACGGATCGGACGGCGTACGTTCGACAATGGTCGTGCCGGATTTGGCAGTGACGCTAAATTGTGTTGCATGTACCGGAGAGGACTGCCACGTCACCACCCCTGCGAAAGGTCTCGAGACCTTTCGAAACCTCGGGCGTCGAACCATCGGAACTTAGGGCTAAGCGACCGGGACCACCGGCCGAGGTCGGGCTTTAGGTATTTAGGGAGAGGGCGTCGGGCCAAATAGGCAAGTTCGAGGACCCGGTATTCCCGGACCGGGTAGCAGGAGGCAGGATGGAGGCGCACGGGGCTTAGGAAGATCCGGCCCCCTCCAGAGTAGGCCAAGGAAGGGGTGGTAACCATGGAGTCTCAAGCTAGTCTTCAGCATTTCAGCAGTGGG